GATCCGGACCGATTCCAGGTGGATCCGGACCGGATCCAGATTCCTGGGCTCGAGCTCAGCTGTCTTGATTCGGACCGGATCCAGTTGGATCCGGCCCTGCACTGGCAGTTTTCTGGTCTTCGCGATTTCGCTCATATCTTTCTGCTCCGGTGTCGGATTTACGCGATTTTGGTGTCTACTCGAAGCTCTTGAAGGCTCTTTCCAATGGTACAAGTTTTGCATGATTTGGACCTCTGTGGAGAAAGATATTGATGTCGCAACATGAGTACCTCATCCGGACTTCTCCTTTAACACTCCAAATAGCTCCTTTTTGAGTCCAATCGTCTTCGAAACCTGTAATCTGCAAAACTAAAGCACAACCGAGTTTTTGTGTCCTAGCACGCCTAGAATGTCTATGAATGCATGTGATTATCCCGTAAAACCTAGACAAACTCTTATCAAAATATAGAGAAAAATAGAAGTTATCACTCCCACTCAATCAAGCATATCCCATATCTTGATCAAGTTACATGCATTCATTCACAATGGACCATCCATAAGAATGAATCATGTCTATTTGAGTTACAAATGATCAGAATAAGCAACGTTTGCATAATCGGACCTAGAAAACGAAAAATTTCAGAATCTGGACCTCGGACCGTCTGTTCTGGTGGCAGAACGGACGTTCCAGGCTTGCAGAACGATCGGTCTGAACCAGCCGTAACGGACGGTCCGCAGCAGACGGAACGGACGATCCAGAGCAGACCATCTGTTCTGATCTGTGCAGTCCGCCACCCCCGGACCGTCCGGTCTGGCTTACCCAGAACGGACGGTCTAGGGTTCGTTTACGTGATCAGATCACGTTCTCCGGCGTTCTTGGCCCCGATCAGACCCGAAACTGATCTGAATTCTTCTGCACACCCAAAATTTGAACTCCTGCACTCTATGCAACATGAAACATGCAATCTACCATAGATTCAATCATCAAACATGCATAGAATTCAAAGCAAACATGGATTCAAACAATTCAAATCCTAAAACGTGTGTGATCGGGTTCTACGAAATCAAAACAGAGCAACCAGGCTCTGATACCACTGATGGGATTCCTGGGATCTTTAGAGCGAATCCTATTCCTAAGAGATCGATTCTAGGGTTTGCGCAGCGGATGTAAAACAAAAATTTGAATGAAACCTGCTTCTATGAATCGTAGAAACGTTAGAACGCTTACCTCAATTGATCCGGGGCCTTATCAATTAAAGAACTCGTCTGATCACGAAAGGGAGGAAGAATACCTCGCCCTCTACACGTATCCACACCTCGGGATGGATTCCAACGATTGGAACTTGTTTGCTAGGACCCGAATCTGCTATTCGGTTTGATGCTTCGAGAAAACAAGACTTAGAATTCCTTGAACTATTTGGATCTCACCAAAAGCCCTTAGAATTCTGCCAAAGACGGCTCAAAAAGTCTCTCTCTTGATTAGGGTTTTAATCTCCTTCTTATAAGATGATTTAACCCTAATTCGGTCTAATTTTTGAAAACCCAAAACCCGGAACGGACGGTCCGGAATTGCACTTGGACCGTCCGTTCTAGCACGTAGAACGGACGGTCTGACCGAACGGGCCGCCCGTTCCAGACCTTCTAGAACGGACGGACTGTGTTTTGGACCGTCGGGTCTAGACCAGGCGGACCGTCCGGTCCGCCCTTCTGGTCCGTCCGTTCCAGACCCTTCCGTCTCGGTTTTTCGTCGTTTTCTCTCGTGCATTTGTCCTTCCCTGCGTGTGTGACCCTGTAGACTCATTCGATATAGCAGTATAATCCGAAATCTCTATTTCGGATATACAAGTCATAGGCGGTCTCTAGCAATACACTATGACTACCTATCTCAAATAGAGTTTGTTCGTGATCTTACGAACGCCAGTGATGATTCCGGCTGATGATCCTTTTGTATCACGATATCATATGTCGAACATAAGGCATGGACAAGCCACCTTATCTGATTCGGCTGCTTTCTCGTTCACTGAGTTCGACTGTCTGAAATAGACGACGCTCGTCTATAGTGCGGCCACACATTTCTACAGTCTCACTCACACGAGGGGCCCAGCGATATTTCTCTCTTTTACAGAGGTACAAATCCCGTCTTGACTATCTACAATCCAGCACATGATTCGTTTCGTACCTGATACACGCCTTTATAGTCCTCCTGTTACGCAGGACGTTTGACGTATTCAAAGCACGCAACTCCTCATGTTGGATTCCGTAGATATCTCAGGTCTTAGGATCCAATCATGGAACCGCCATATGAGATTCAAGTCATGACGCTAGTCCATGTGACAATCTCATGCGGGTCAATCCAGTATTCCGTTCTCCAACGAATACCTATGACTGTGATCGTATCCAATACCTATGATCATCTATATGATCATCAATCACACATCATACTAGTCTTAGTATATCATTATTCCCACAATGATACATGACTAGGGAGTTTAGTATTGTTCATAACAATACATGGATTTCACAACATATCTAGTATGCACAACATGTAATGAATCAAACACTTTCATAAAACTATAGAAAGTATCAATACATCAAATGTATCCAAAGAAAGCTCGCAAACAGTACATCATAGAGCACTAAACCAACAGTTTCTTGTCTTTACGTTGGCCGAGAACTGCGCCAACCGCGTAATCACTGGCATCACACATAATTTCAAAAGGATGATCCCAATCCGGAGGTTGAATGATAGGAGCAGATGTCAGACCTTTCTTCAGTGCTTGGAATGCAATATTGCAGTCAGCCGTATACTCGAATGACGCTTCCTTGCAGAGCAGATGGTTAGTGGTTTGGAGATCTTGGAGAAATCTATAATGAACCTCCTATAGAAACCTGCATGACCGAGAAAACTGCGGATGCTTTTGACGTTGCAAGGTGGAGGCAGTTTCTCGATTACTTCTATCTTAGCTCGGTCAACCTCGATCCCTCTTTCCGAAATTTTGTGTCCGAGAACGATGCCTTCGCGAACCATGAAGTGGCATTTCTCCCAGTTGAGCACTAAATTAGCCTGTGAACACCTGTCTAAAACTCGCGAAAGATTCGTCAGACACACATCAAAGGAGGGCCCATGGACAGAAAAATCATCCATGAACACCTCCATAATATCTTCAATCACATCTGAGAATATAGACATCATGCAACGCTGAAAAGTACGAGGGGCGTTGCAAAGACCAAAAGGCATATGTCTATAAGCAAATGTACCATATGGGCAAGTAAACGTAGTCTTTTCCTGGTCAGAAGGATGTATAGGAATCTGAAAGAAACCTGAATACCTGTCAAGAAAGCAGAAGTAAGAGTGCAGAGCGAGATGCTCGAGCATTTGGTCAATGAATGGCAGTGGAAAATGATCCTTCATTGTGTTGGCATTAAGTTTCCTGTAATCAATGCACATACGCCATCCTGTGACAGTTATTGTCGATATCAACTCATTTTGATCGTTCTTGATGACTGTCATCCCACGTTTCTTCGGAACTACCTGCACATGACTAATCCAAGAGCTATCGGAGATAGGAAAGTTAATACATGCGTCTAGAAGTTTTATTACTTCTTTCTTGACAACCTCTTGAAGCTTCGGGTTGAGACGACGTTGATGTTCAATAGAAGTTTTCGTCGCATCTTCGAGATGAATCCGATGCATGCATAAAGATGGACTGATGCCCTTGATATCTCTGATCGTGTAACCTATCACTTTCTTGTATTTGCGCAGCATAGCTAACAACATACGGACTTGGGAGGAGTCCAAGTCGGCATTAATGATAACATGATATGTGAATTTGGGTCCAAGATATTCATACCTGAGTCTTTCTGGGAGGGGTTTAAGATCAAGCACCGGTGCACAATTAGGGTTCCAATCGATGGACGCAGGGTTGTTTGTGACGAAGAACAGAATCAACTAGGGGGTTAGAAAACAAACTTGAGTTGGTTGCGGAAAGAGACGTGGCGTGAGACGAAGATGGAACGTGCACAAAATTTGGAATGAGACACGATCGTGTGGCGCTGTCTGACACGATCGGGTCGAATGGTGAACAGTTCGGATTTTGATCTGAGAGGGAGACACGATCGTGTTGCAGCAGAGACACGATCGGGTCAGATGGCTGAATTTTTCTGGAAGTCAAAACACCGGCAACACGATCATGTTGCATTAGAGAAACGATCGGGTCAGATGGCTGATTTGCGCAAATGGCATCGCGGCTTTGGACACGATCGTGTCTAACTCAAAATTTCCCAAAAATTCTTCATGCTCTAAAATGCGACCGTAGATCCACATCTGGTCTATGTCGTGTAGATGCTATCCTGTGATAAAAGATTGAACTCTAAAGGATCGTCACGATGAAATTGGTGCATTACCTTTCAAAGGGTCCGAAGATATCGATGAAGTAGGCGGATTCTGTAGATGACGGTTGCTTGAGAGTTTTGTCTAGAGTAAATTCCACCGTCTCATCACCAATCTTCATGGTGAGGCGACCTGTTCGAACATGAATGACAGCATCTGCAGTGCTAAGAAACGGACGACCGAGAATGATGGGTACCTTAGAATCCTCGTCCATGTCTAGAACCACGAAGTCAACTAGAATGTAGAAATTCTCGACTTTCAAAGGGACGTCTTCAAGTATTTCAGCAGGGTACTTAACAATGCGATCGACTAATTGGAGAGCCATCCGAGTGGGTTTTAGTTCGCCCACATTCAGCTTCTTGAAAATGGAGAGTGGAAGAAGGCTAACGCTGGCTCCTAGATCACACAAAGCACGATCGATGTAAACGTTACCCAATGTACAAGGGATTGAGAAACTACCTGGGTTCGAGCGCTTGGGTGGTAACTCGTGTTGTATCAAGGCACTGCATTCGACAATGAGAGCTACAGTCTCTTTCTCAATGACCCTCTTCTTGGTCAGGATGTCCTTCAAAAATTTAGTATACGAGGGAATCTGTAAAATGGCTTCAGGGAAAGGCATGGTTACCTCGAGTTTCTTCAGCATCTCCGCGAACTTAACAAATTGGCTATCTTCGTTGAGCTTCCTCAGGCAGGATGGAAATGGTACCGGTGGAGGCCTAGGAGGAGGAGGTACGTATCTGGTTCGGGAGTGTCATCAGGGGTAGCACGATCATTGGAGACCTCGCTTTGCTCGACCATTGGAGAGTGTCGAGTGTCTACCTGTTTACCACTCCGCAGAGTAATGGCATTAATGTGTTCGCGAGGGTTAGTCTCAGGTTTACCTGGAAGGACGCCAGACGGTCTTTGAGAGTCCGCCGCTAACTGAGCAATCTGATTATCTACGAGCTTAAAGTGGGCGTCAATGCTCACGAATTGAGTGCAAAACTCCTGAGTCGTCTTTTCATGTGCCTGCATGAGTTGTTGAATAAGAGCATATGTATCTTGAGTAAGATCGCGATTACCAGAAGGCGTGGGATTGTTGGAAGTCTGCCCGGGAGCTCTGTAGTTGGAGTTCTGATTGTTGGTTTAGTGCTCTATGATGTACTGTTTATGAGCTTTGTTTAGATACATTCGATGTATTGATACTTTATATGGTTTATATGAGAGTATTTGATTCATTACATGTTCTTGCATACTAGATCTGTTATGAAATCCATGTATCATTATGAATGATACTAAACTCCCTAGTCTTGTGTCATTATGGGAATGATGACATAATAAGACTAGTATGATGTGTGATTGATGATTATAGAGATGATCATAGGTATTGGATACGATCACTGTCATAGGTATTCGTTGGAGAACGGAATACTGGATTGACCCGCATGAGATTGTCACATGGACTACCGTCATGACTTGAATCTCATATGG